AGCCAGTATTTGGCACATACGCGGGGACTCAAAGAGCTTTGTTGAAAATGGAATTGAAGTAGGGAACCAGCAGTTAGCGTAATGGCTATGGTGCTGGACTCCCACGTGGATGACCGCGGTTCGAGTCCCGGACCCGGTGGCTTAAAACTCACGCCGGGCGCGTGTGCAGGCCCAAGATCCCGAGAGGGTAATGGGGGAGAAGGGATTGCGGCGTGACCATCCCCCCTGGGGGGTGATTTCTCGCTTTCTGTCTCTATGTCTCGCTCTGTCTGTCTGGCGAGCGCACGCGCCCTACAGTGAAAATCTCTCCAAAAAAAAGAAAATGGAATTGAAGTCCAAGTTTATTTTGGGGCAAAAAAAAAAAAAAAAAAAAAAAAAAAAAAAAAAAAAAAAAAAAAATTGAAACCCATATATCATTGTTTCAGTGTGGGCATATGCCATGAAGTTTGCGAAGGTCCCTGTGGTTCCGCTGGCCCTAGTTGTCCGGCCTCACTTCCTACCAGCTTTGCACACCTAGTAGCACACCGGGGAAGGTTCCCGCCGAAGCCCCAGAATTGGCTCTGAGGTCTTCAGGGAAGGTTGCCCGCCCACCCGGACCTGGTGAGAGGGCTCCAGGGGCCCCTCTACTTTCATCAGCAGGTATAGGTATAGGTATAGGTCACAGGTCCACATTCTGGATCCTCAAGACTCCAGAAGAAGGAAGAAGAGATCCCCCAAGGAAAAACAGACAGGGGGCAGGGCTGCCACTGGGGGAGCAGTCGGGAACCGGGTGGGAAGAAGCCAAGGAGGAGTAGAACAATGACTGCCTACAGGGCAGGCCAGACCTGGACCCCGGCCATCTCCTCCCAAGCAGCCTGGAGCCTGCTTATCTGGGAGGACAGGCAGTCCTGGACACTAGATGAGGCTGGCAGCCAACTGGAGTCCTGGCGGCCCCACTGCAGGTTCCTTCTGAAGGACATCCACTGGCTCCTCCACAGCAGATGAGTGACCAGGACAGACTGGGCGTCCAGGCAAGCAGCAGAGCCTCTCACACTCACCGCACGGAAGGTGGCTGAGGCAGGTCCCTGGGGGTCTCCTGGAGCACTAAGCAGGAGGAGCTGTATCCTCGCGGGGCAGACTCAGAAGGTCAGCACCTTGGCTCCCCATCCCAGCTCATTGGGGCTGCCTGCGGCTGCTCTCGCACCTCTGGGCTCCCGCCCCGTGGCCTTCATCCCTGAGATACCCCGAGGCCTCCCAGGCCTGGACCCATCAGTCGTATTCTGGTTGCTAGCTTTGCCTCCGTTTCCACATCTGTAAAGGGGAGACAGTAATTGTGAGGAGTAAACAGACAGGGGTGTGAAGCATTTTGCGCAACGCCTAGGATATCGCCAGGGCTCAGCAGACATTAGTCCAGCTGGTGGGGAGGTCCCGCGAGTGCCCCCATGAGCGACTGGGTCCAGTGTACAGCAGGGGCTCGGGAGATGCAAGTTCCCTCTTTGCTCAGTCCGAAGAGGCTGGAGAGAAGCCAAAGGAAGCAGCCTCACCCCCTGTGTTCCCCGAAGCCGCAGCTTCCCCTTCCTTGCACTCAAAGTGGCTGTTTCGGTTCCAGCTGTGATTCTGCTGAGCAGGAGGCAAAAAAGGGGAAGTAGAAAAGGAGAAGGCAGATCAGACCTTCTCCAGTCCTGTGCCCGGCTCCTCGGTGGGTACCGAAGGTACAACCATAACTCCCCAGCTCCAGGTGGATTGCTGTGCCTCCTGTATTGTGAGTGGCGGGGCACGCTGGCATCAAGAGCCTGGTCCAGGCAGGCCTGATGCAGGCTCCAGGGACACCCCCGGCCCAGGCCAGATGCTGCCCAAGGTCAGGGCTGGTTTGGCGACTGGCGTGCAGAGGGCATAATGACCCTGTAAGGTAGGTGCTGCTAACTAGCCATTTACCCAGGCTCAGGCTCAGAGAGGGTGGTTGTCTTGCCCCAGGTCACACAGTAAGTTGATGGTAGGTCCCAGTCTGACTCCTCAGGGGAAGGAAGCTGGGTCCTGACCCCTGTCATCCTGTGCCCTTGCTGCTAGGCTCCTGGGCCAGGATCCCAGGAGGGATCCCCCAGCGGGGACTCCAGATCATATTTCCCAGCAGAAAACTGGCCAGCTAAGGTTGGGAAGCCTCTCCCCACATCCAGCCTGGTCTGGGTTGGTTCCTGCCATGGCTTGCTGGCAGGTGGTGACTCAGGCTTCCAGCTCCTGCCTCTGAGTGACAGCCCCCCCCCAACCCCTCTAGATCTGGAGGGCATGAGGGAACGGGGCGGGGGGTGTGCTGTGAGTCATCTAAAGGTTATCTTAAGACTATAAGCAGCCTAAAGAGCTACAGGCTTTGTCAGTTCTTCCTTACGGTAAACTGAGTTGCATCTGCTGCAGAACTGCCCGTGTGGCCATCGGAACAGGATAAAGGAAGCTGGCAGATGTGGTCCCTGCCATGCCGTCGGGGACTCGGTGTTTCTGCTGATGGTATAGCTGGAGTAGAGGTGGGTGTCAGGGCAACGCGCCCAGGCCTCTGCCTCAGGTGACTGGCCCTGTCACCCTTGCTGTTGTCCCCAGGGGCTTCTGTGAGTCACATTGACCAGGGTGAGGACAGGGGCTGGAGCTTCTCTAGGAAAGGTAAGGGGAGAGAGCTGGAGGAGGGGCCAGAGGAACTGAGGCTGGGAACCCATCCTGAGGTGCTTAGTGCTAGCTCAAAGGGAAGCCCCTGCCCCTGCCCACCTCCAGGGCACCTGTCCCAGGCAGGTTGGCCCTCTCAGCCTGTCTGCTGACGGCAGGCCCCTGAGCTCAGGGGACACAGTTCCCTGCGAATCCTCTAGATTGAGCATCTAAACACGGCCTTGGCGAGGATGATGGAAAAGGGAGCCTCGGCGTCAGAAAGACCGTGTGGAAATCCCGCCTGACTGGGACACGTGGGGAAACATGCTTCCCAAGTCTTAGTCTCTCCCGCTGTAAAATGGAGAGCACAATCCACCCTCCGCACGCCGGTGGCTCAGAACCGTAGATAAAGCATCTGGCATGGAGTAGGCATTGAAGAAGTGACACCCAATGCTGAGGGCCCAGAAATGAGTGGAGACTGCAGTGGGCTGGGGGCCCCAAAGCAGGGCAGGTGGGTTAGGCCCAGATAGGCCCATTCGGCTCGCAAGCATCTGTGAGCCAGGGCACCTCGCGTGTGATTCATCTAGTCCTCACGACAGCTCTGTGGGTCCCAGTGACGGTTCTGTTTACAGACCAGAGCCCTGGGGTGGTGGGCAGAGACTATCTGGAAAAGGCAGGATGTGTGTGGGGGCACTCCAGGCAGAGGACACAGCATGTGCACAGACCTAGGGTTAGAAAGCCTGGCAAGGAAGGATGAGGCTGGACAAGGGCCCCGGCAGGCTTGGCAACAGGGCTCTGATGGGCCGGCTCTCCTCAGGCCTCTTGCTGGGCCCTCTGCCCAGCTCACCTTGAGCTCTGGCTGCAGTATTTATTCTCTTTCTTTCTCTTCTTTTTCCCTTTCCTTCTTTTTCTTCCTTTTTATAAAAAAAAAAAAAAATGCCAGAGGGGGACCAGCAGTTGGAGTAATGGCTATGTTGCTGGATTCCCACATAGTCGACCGTGGTTCGACTATGAACCTGTCCCGGACCCGGTGGCTTAAAACTCACGCCAGGCGCGTATGCATGCGTGCCCAAGATCTCGAGAGGAGAACGGAGGAGAAGGGATTGTGGCGTGGCCATCCCCCTAGGGGGTGATTTCTCACTTTCTGTCTCTCTGTCTCTCT